GTGGAGCCCCCGTTCGATAGCTAAGTTGGTAAGTTTATAACTCCAATAACTATGGTTTATGGTACCTATAACTATAGTTAATGGGGTTTATAAACCATCTTATAACTGGGGGGCCCCACATTGTAGAGGCTTCCTGAATAATGTAATCAAGAGTCATTTCCATTATCTTACTGGTGCTTAGCAGGGAATGGATGGGAATGGGGGAATGGGATGATTATTGATAGTGATTCTGGATCATTCCCTCATTCCCTACTAAGCACAAGTAAGTTATTTGTTTCATGTCATTTGCCATTAACGCAAGGGATTGATATTATTCAATAGCTGCATGGGGCCTGGTGGATGTGTTCAGGTTGCAGCGTGGCCACAGTAGGATTTTGCGAGTAAAAAAGTGCGAAGGTGACATGGGTTTCTGTGGAATCTGCCTACAGTTATGGCCCTTAACAGTGATAAATATGGGATTATATCCTATGTGTAACCGTTAAGGGCCATCCTCATCATCATGTTCCCATCAAAGGGGTCTACCACATTTTTGGTGAAAGCGTTAGCGAACCTCGCCCCATCAAAGATGATTAAGCTTTTGGCGATACTGACAGAAATGGTGTTCATTCAGATTCGGGATTTATTCTAATCTCTTCCTCATGTTAAAGAGTGCCCCGTTAATCCCTAGTTTAGTACTGGATAGGTTCTGCGGGTCCATATGGGAGGTATTTGATTTTAGAGGGACGGGATTACTTTTCGAGAACTTTTTTTTTGAGTGACTTGTGGCTGCAAAAGGACCAATCCGCAGACCATCAAGCCAACTCAACGGGAAGTTTTTGGTGTCAGTTTCAGAAACACCAGACGATCCTTAGATTGGAAGTCTGTCGCAAAAAAAATGAAACCACATTCCGCTTTTGATTTTCAGAGTGCCCACCATTTGCTAAGCCGCTAAGACATTCTGCTACAAGGCCACCAGCCTCGTCAGCTCAAGCTCATATACATTATATACATACGCCGTGGGTGGCATCCGCCTACATGAGCCGTGGGTGGCATCCGGCTATCTGAAGATAGCACAAGATCATATACAATCATATACATTTATATATGTATATATATGTATAGTATAGTATATATAATACACATATAAGTGACATAACAACCGTGGCCTTCCTACCCAAGCCTAGCATGGTCAGCCGTTTCGAAACGAATGGGTCCAAGCACGGGCCAGTCCCACGGATCGCTCATCATCGCTCGTCCAAATCCTAAGATTCGTCGAAAAATACGGCAACAATCATATAATCTAGTATTACTACTACAAAGTGGTGCCCCTAGATAGTTAAGTTGGTGAACAACTCCAATAACTATGGTTTATGGTACTTATAACTAGAGTTACTGGGGCTTGTAAACCAACTTATAACTGGGGGTGGTTTTGGAACATGACTTTTATTGTCCATTTCACATGTGGGATGTCATCCTTCCCATTGACTTTTTTTTCAAGATGGTTAAAGCCACCATTACTACTATGATATTTCCAATGATATCCAATTAATCTATATTTATACATATATAATAGAATATACCCAATAATTTTTCAGAAAAACAAGATGAAGCCCACGAACCCGAATGCTCACACGTATGTTAATGGTACAGAGGTCAAAACACATGGTTATGCAGTCACGCACAATACCTTTCTGCAATAGTTTATTTGAACAGTCTTGTACATGTTTCCCTTGTTACCAGTCTGCAGTGTGGAGTGACGAGTGTAAAGTGTGGAGTGCGAAATGTGGAGTGGAAAGTGTAGAGTGTGGTGTGAAGAGTGGAGTGTGGAGTGTAAAATGTGAAGTGTGGAGTGTAGAGTGTAAAGTGTAGAGTGTGGAGTGTGGAGTGTAGAGTGTAAAGTGTAGAGTGTAAAATGTAAAGTGTGGAGTGTAGAGTGTAAAGTGACGATTGTAAAGTGTGGAGTGAGGAGCGTAAAGTGTG